AAAAAATGAACAGGTAAAAGTGTCAGACTTGTTGCTTCACACTGGCCCTCGTAACAGACCTGTCTGTTTGCATCAAAGGGAAGCAGACTCATTCTATTTATTGTATCCTGTTCTGTCACGTTCACACTATTGACTGTCACATTATTAATGGTAAATTAAAACATCTCTATTTCAGCAGAGATCTACATCTCATATGACTAATGTGACCTTTTTAGGGAGACTACTGCGTGGTGTGTTGTGTTCTCTAAGAGATGAGCTTGTAGCTATAGAAACTGTCACCTCGACCAGGCCAGTGGTGTGGGTAGCGCTGACCTTCTTGGTTGCTCTCTTCTTCGCTGTGGTTCAGGGTCCCTGGTGGGGTAACTGAGAGCTGCCCCCCCTCCAACTATGTCTTTTGCCCTTTCATAGCATTGTATGTAAAAACTCAGAAGACAGTCCACGAGGAATCACATGCTTTCATGTGCCAAAATGATCTACAGCACTGAGGATGGTACATGCACATAGTGGGAAATGGGATGTGACTGTTCATTTGTTCAAAAACCATCCACTGAATAAAGAGGTTTTTTTTTTATTATTAAATCATAGCTGTGTATATTAATGCAGTCATGGGGTACGGTGTGCTGGTTTTATATACAATTTGAAATACTTTCGTGAAACTGGTTAACATAGCCTTCATGGCAAAGAGGTTTTATATTCATTTTTTTTTTTTTTGAAATGGTCGCACTGTGTCACCCTTGGTAGAGTACTGTGGCATCACAGCTCACAACAACCTCAAACTCTTGGGCTTAAGTGATTCTCTTGGCCTCAAGCAGTCTTCCGCCTCAGCCTTCCTAAGTGCTGGGATTACAGTTGTAACCCACTATGCCTGGCTGTTTTCTGTTTCTTTCTTTTTTTTTTTTTTGAGACAGGAGACTCAAACTGTCCACCTGGGTAGAGTGCGGTGGCATCACAGCTCACAGCAACCTCCAACTCCTGGGCTCAAGGGAGTCTCCTGCCTCAGCCTCCAGAGTAGCTGGGACTACAGGCGCCCACCACAATTTCCGGCTATTTTTTTTTGGTTGCAGCCGTCATTGTTGTTTGGCGGGCCTGGGCTGGATTTAAACCCGCCACCTCAGATGTACATGGCTGGTGCCTTAGCTACTTGAGCCACAGGCGCAGGGCCCTGTTTTCTGTTTCTTACGACATCAGAAAGTCCTAACTGATTATAATCAGTTGAGTGTTGGTCACCCAAAAGATATGTCTACATCTTAACTCCTGGAACCTGCGAATGTGAGTTTTGGAAGAAGAGTCTTTTCAGATCTAATTAAGTTAAAGATCTTTAAATGAGATTATCTTAGATTATCCACGTTGCTTCTAAATCCAGTGACAAGCATCCTTATAAGAGACACACAGAGAGAAGGCTATGTAAAGATAGAGACAGAGCCAACACACACCCGGAGCCACCAGAAGCTGGAGAGGCAAGGAAGGATCCTCTGCTAAGGCCATCAGAGACAGCCCAGCCCTGCCAACTCCTTGATTTCAGACGCTTGGCTTCCAGGACTATGGGAGCATAAATAGCTGTGGTTTTATTTTATTTATTCATTTATTTATTTATTTTTTGCAGTTTTTGGCCGGGGCTCGGTTTGAACCCGCCACCTCCAGCATATGGGGCCAGTACCCTACTCCTTTGAGCCACAGGTGCCACCCAATAGCTGTGGTTTTAAACCACCAAGGTTGGCGGCACCCATAGCTCAGTCAGCAGGGCGCTGGCCACATATACCTAGGGTGACAGGTTAAAACCTGGCCTGGGCCTGCTAAGCAACAATGACAACGGCAACCAAAAAAGAGCTAGGCGTTGTGGCAGGTGCCTGTAGTCCCTGCTACTTGGGGGGCTGAGGCAAGAGAATCACTTAAGCCCAAGAGTTGGAGGTTGCTGTGAGCTGCGATGCCACAGCACTCTGCCCAGGATGACAGCTTGAGCGTTATAAATAGAAATAAACCATCAAGGTTATGGTTATTTGGAAGGCAACTATGCTCATCACTGTACCACCAGCACCACTTGGCTATGGTTGTTACAGCAGTATGAGGAAACTAATACACTAATCAATGTGCATATAGAAATATTTTTGTCCTTTCCTTTTTTGAAATTTTTATATATATTTTTTGACACAGAGTTTCACTATGTTGCCCTCAGTAGAGTGCTGTGGTATCACAGCTCAGCCTGAAATTTTTATATTTCAAAATATTAAAGTGGTACAGATGTGTTTGTTACATAGATCACTTTTGTAATGCTTGAGTCACAGCTATAAGTGTTCCATCAGCCAAATAATATTCATTGTATCTGATAGGTTTTGTCTCTTCCTTCCTCCCCCACCTTCTTTTTGATTTCCAATGAGTTTTACTTCCCTCTGTGCACATGTGTGCCCATGTTAGTTTCAGTATATAAAGAGCACATGTGTTTGTTTCTCTCACTCTCTCTCTCTCTCTCTCTTTTTTTTTTTTTTTGTAGAAAAAAAAAGCTATGATGTGGCATCATAGCTAACCTCAAATTCCTGGGCTCAAGTGATCCTCTTGCCTCAGCCTCCTGAGTAGCTAGGACTACAGGCACCCTACCCAGATAATGTTTCTATTTTTTTTACTGGGAAATTCTCATTTTAGATTTTAATTTTTCTTGAGGTATCTATATAGAACAGTAGAGAACATTTAACACTGCACAGATTTTTCCAGTATACCCAACAGGCGACCTTTGTTGAGTCTTAAGGCTTCAGAATAAATATAACTACTGTATATAATTCCATACTCTTTGGCCAGTCTTTTAGTTCCATTTAACAGATCAGTTTAGTAAAACAGTTATATCTCATTTTATGAGTTGACAGTACTACAAGGCTGGGATTTAATACAGGTGGGCCCACAGCCTCTTTTCTCTTTGAATCATTTTTCTCTCTCCGGTTTCTCTTTACTAAAGACAAAGTATAGCAGAACTGACTTAGTTACCAAAATAAACTGTACCTTCAGTATACTGGGTCTGATTATTTGCACAAAGTGCAGTAAGATTAATTAGTTATTAGCCATCTAGGCTTTTCTTTCCTTTAAAATTGGCTTTGCTCGGCACCTATAGCTCAACCGGCTAAGGCGCCAGCCACGTACACCTAAGGTGGCGGGTTCGAATCCCCAGCCTGGACCCGCCAAAACAACAATGACGGCTGCAACCAAAAAATAGCCGGGCGTTGTGGCGGGCGCCTGTGGTCCCAGCTACTTGGGAGGCGGAGGCAGGAGACTCGCTTGAGCCCAGGAGGTGGAGGTTGCTGTGAGCTGTAATGCCATGGCACTCGACCCAGGGGGACAGCTTGAGGCTCTGTCTCAAAAAATAAAATAAAATAAAATAAAATTGGCTTTGCTAGAACCCTTCATAAGGAATCTCAGGCCGGACTTTCTTGAAAGCCTTTCATGAGCCCAGGCCTCATCCATGCCACTAGATATCCACATGCATTGGGCAAACTCCTCCCCTCCTGAGGTCCCCAAGCACATTTGACTCCTAGACCCACCAGGAAGCAACCCCTGTTACTTAACCACAGATCAGGAAATGCCAGCTTTCCAAAAGGCCTCTCTCACTGGCCCTACAAAGTCAACCTGAATTCCCCAATGCAGTTTGGACACCTCTGGAAATGCTATTCCAGCCAAAGCCTTAGCAAAACAACCAGTGCCTTCATCATGTCCCATAGAACAAAACAGATTCCTATTGAACCTATGCAAATGACTATACTGTCAAAAATCAAGAATACTTACAAATGGCTTTCAAATTCCGGAGAAATCAAGGAGAGAGAAAAAATACGTTTCAAATTCTGCTCATAAGTACATACATTGCTTGAAAAGCTACAAATAGCTCAAAAGACAGAAAGTGGTTTTTCTGGCCCCTGGAAAACAGAACACAGACAGAATCAACAATATTTTGAATGAAGAGCCATAACAAACTAGCCCAGTTCCACACTACTGATTTCTGTTCTGTTTGAAGTTAGGTTAGCAATACTCATAGACATGTCAACTTTTCAATGAAAGTTCTAAAACTCTGCCTCTAGTCTGAAGGTGTTCAGTTTCTAAAGACATCAGAAATTTGAATTCGAGAGAATTCGTCAGCCTCTCTCAATGTTTCCTTTTCTTTTAGGGTAAACTTTGGACTCAGCCAGTTACACAAAAAACACATACTTTTTTAGATGAACTAAAATTACCACCAACAACATACGTTAGGACAGACCAATGTCTTATACATTAGTAATTTTTCTATTTTTAGTAGAGACTGGGTCTTGCTCTTGCTCAGGCTGGTCTCAAACTCTTGAGCTCAAGCAGTTTACCCACCTTGGCCTCCCAGAGGGCTAGGACTACAGACATGAGCCACCGCCCCCAGCCTGGCATTTTTTTTTTTCGTTCTTGAGTTACTTCATTTGGGACAGATGTCCTCAAACTACGGCTCATGGGCCACATGCAGCCCACCTAGGACATTTATCCAGCCGACTGGGTGTTTTTGCCACCGCTGCCTGTCCTGCTTAGCAGCCAACTCATCCTGGGGCCCGCAGTCCTGCCCTCCAGTAGTCTGAGGGACAGTGAACTGGCCCCTGTTTAAAAAGTTTGAGAACACCTGATTTAGGATAACAGTCTCCAGTTCCATCTAATTTGTTGCAGAGAGCATTAATTCATCCTTTTCTAGAGTTCGGTGGTACTCCATGGTATACATATGCCACATTTTGTTAATCCATTCATGAAATGAGGAGCACTTGGGTAGATTCCACGTCTTTGTAATTGTGAGTTGTGTGGCAATAAACATTCAAGTGCAGGTGTCTTTTTGATAGAGTGACTTTTCTTTAGCAGTGTGGGATTACTAGATAAAATGGCAGATAGACTTCCAGTTCTCTGAAGAGTCTCCATACTATTTTCCATACTAATTTGCAGTCCCACCAACAATGTACAAGTCTTCTTTTCTCTCTGCATCCTTGTCAGCATCTATTGTTTGGGGACTTCTTTTAAATAAAAATATGGAATGCTTCATGAATTTGCTTGTTACCCTTGCACAGAGGTCATGCTAATCTTCTCTGTGTTCCAATTTTCTATATGTGCTGCCAAAGTGAACACATTTTTGGACTTTTTAATAAAAGCCATTCTTAAGGCTAAGGTGATATCTTATAGTTTTAATTTGCATTTCCCTTATGATTAGTGACTGAGCATTTTTTTCTTTTCTTTCTTTTTTTTTTTTGAGACAGTCTCACTTTGTCACCCTTGGTAGAGTGCTGTGACATCATAGCTCACAGCAACCTCAAGCTCTTGGGCTCAACAGATTCTCTTGCCTTAGCCTCCCAAGTATTTGGCACTACAGGTGCCCACCTGGCTATTTTTAGAGATGGAGTCTTGCTCTTGCTCAGGCTGGCTTCGAACTTGTGAGCTCAGACAATCCACCCACCTTGACCTCCCAGAGTGCTGGGATTACAAACGTGAGCCACCGTGCCTGGCCATACTTTGAGCATTTTTTTCATACATTTGTTGGCCATTTGTCTATCTTGAAAAGCTTCTGTTCATGTTTTTTGCCCACTTTTTAATGGGATTATTTGGTTTTTTCCCTTTGATTTGCTTGACTTGTTCATAGATTCTAAATATTAGCCCTGTATCAGAAGTATAGTTTAGGTTTCTGTAGGTTGTCTGCTTGCTCTGTTGATTATTTCCTTCACTATACAGAAGTTTTTAATCCTTTTCTTTATAAATGTTTAACTGCCTTCCAAGGTTTTGCCATTCCCTTTCCTTGTAAAGAGTAACAGTGTAGGCTTGAGCCACCCTGCCTCATTTAAATACCAAACTGGTCATTTCCTAGCTGGGTGACCTTAAATAAACTACTTATCCCCTCTGTGCCTCAGTTTCTTCATCAGTAAAATGCTTTTCCTTGTATTAAATGAGTGCACGCATGCAAGTGCCAAGAATGGTGTCTGGCATGTTGTAAGCAAGACATATAAATGTTAATTATATGTTCTCTCTTAAATGCTGTAATGATTTTCTTTCCTTTTTTTTAGAGACAGAATCTCATTTTATTGCCCTCAGTAGAGTGCGATGACATCACAGCTCACAGCAACCTTCAACTCCTGGGCTTAGGTGATTCTCTTGCCTCAGCCTCCCAAGTAGCTGGGACTATAGACACCCACCACAGTGCTTGTCTATTTTTTGTTGCAGTTTGGCTGGGGCTGGGTTTGAACCTGCCACCCTTGGTATATGGGGCCGGTGCCCTACCCACTGAGCCATAGGCACCACCCTGTAGTGATTTTCTTTCCTCATCAAAATGCTACCTCTTCATGGTAATGAGTTCAGTTTTGTTCTTACCTAGGTTTTTTTTTTCCTTAATCATTATTTCTTATGATTCATTCACCTCATTATGCTTTTATGCTGTTAGAATGAGGATAATGTCACTCAGAAGAGTATGAACAAACCAAGCCCAGTGGGATCTGACTTCATAGCTAGGGTTAATTACCAGAAAAGTCAAAAGGCTAACCCCGAGCACAGCAGAAAGACAAAGAACTCATTTAACTAATAAGCAGTTCGGTGCCATGGCTTCTATTTTTCTCCAGACATTTTTTCTGGACATGCTTAGTTCAAAGCATATGAATAATTGATTTTCAAAATAATTGACTTGTTTTTGACAAGTGCCTCCATGTTTGTTTGCTTTATGGTGGAGACAGATTCGCTGGGAGAGGAAAGGATTACTAGGAATCTTCTCTGGCATGGCATCTACTGAGGGCAATAAAATGAGATTCTGTCTCTAAAAAAAAAATAAAATCATTACAGCATTTAAGAGAGAGATTAAGGAAACTTCTCTGACTATGCCATTTTCCAAATTTCAATCAGATCATTTGTTCTTTGTTTTTTAATTTATTTTCTAAAGACAGGGTCTCACAATGTTGTCCAGGCTGGTCTCCTAGCCTCAAGTGATCTTCCCATCTCAGCCTCCCAAAGTACTGGGATTACAGATGTGAATCCCTATGCCTGGCCCAGCATTTGTTCTTAAAAATCTATCTTTCAGGAGGCTGAGTTGGGTGGATTGCCTGAGCTCACAGGCTCAAGACCAGCCTGAGCCAGAGAGATATCTTTAAAAATAGTATCTTTAAAAATAGTCGGGTGGGCTCGGCGCCTATAGCTCAACCGGCTAAGGCGCCAGCCACGTACACCTGAGGTGGCGGGTTCGAATCCCCAGCCCGGACCCGCCAAACAACAATGACGGCTGCAACCAAAAAATGGCCGGGCGTTGTGGCGGGC